TATTAGTATAACAATCAGGTTGACGGTCCCCCTAATGGTATGTGACTATTACACTCCACGACTCAAATGTGTCGGCATCCTTGAGCACTTTTATCCTGTACTTACACCGTCCCTCTTACCCTTCTAACCAAAATACAGAAAATGGTACACTGTTGCTTTACGGTACACATAGATAAGTCGACAGTCGGACTGCTAAGAGAAAGGGGAATCCATACCACCTGCAGCATGCAATTAAGATCATCTTATGTGGTAATTTACTAATGATGATCTTCACAACAATGAAATTAGTAAATTACCACATCATATAAATTGAATTTGTTGTTTTGGTTGTCTCAAAACTAAGTCAGTTTTCTTTTTTTGTAGGATTAGGTAATAAACGAGCACAAAGTCCACCTGATCGTAAATGGATGCTGTGGCACATTTATCCCCCTTTAAGGATCAAAATTCAAGTGCGTTGTCACCTCTGAGGACTAAGATGGAATTTCTCGATACCAGTAAAAAGGGTTCTCTACACTCATTATACGAAACACAGCAGCATTACGCTGCTATTTTACGCTGGTGTTCTGTGAGAGCATGTTCCTACCCCGGTCGAGCCGACCCATTCGTGTTATGACTATAATATAGCTGCAGCGTGGCTCTACCACGTAAATAAAAGTTTTTTCTGTTTCCAAAGTTAAATTACATTGAAGAAAAGGTTTGCTTTAAGAAAACTCTTATATGAGTTAAGTTTGCCTTTGTACAGTTTAACTACCTTTTTAAATTGTATATAATATACCTTCTCTACTATTCCTATCACGTTTTTAGTATTTAATTTGCACCTACCAAACATCTTTATTTATTCCATCGTTCTTAGTGTTGACTGGTATTGAATGCCATAAGGGCATTAAGTTCGCCTTTTGTGGTTGAAGGTATGTTACGGTAAAAGATAAATTGATAAAATAAATAAATATCTTATAGTGCATAAGTAAAAGAAAGAATAAGGAATAGATTTTTATTTTTGTAACTATGACGTCATTTACGATTAGGTTATTTATTGAATTAAATAGGGCAATATTTCTTGAAGCAATTCGTTTTATCACCTATCGAATTAAAAAAAATTATCGGATCTCGTTAAAATTTTTTCGATCAGCAAAGTTGATTCTCGTGGGAGATATTGTGACATACATTAAAAATATGCAATCGAATCAAGTACCTGCCACTTTTTAACTCTGTTAACAGTTAGATTTTTTTTTAGCTTAAAAAACTCTGAATTCACGCTATAATAATAAAAACTTAAAGGAAACGGAGGATAACATTTTAATTCATCTTAATAATGGCCAAATTACCAGCGTTTTCTTTTTAAAGCTCGGAATCGTCTCTTCGTTCAGTGTCTGATTTGAGTAGGTACAATAAACTAAATTACTGCGAGAACAACGGAGGCAGCAATGATATTTCGACGAAGAGGAAAAAACAAGAGGGTCGTTCGGGAATCCGGCGGGATCCTCCCCGCCCCATTTCATGGCCGTCGCGCGGGAAAGTGGATAAGTAGAAAGTACAGGAAAATGCTAAGGATACTACTATTACGCGCTATTTACACTGTTTTTTTTTGTATCTTACTGAAAAGACCGGATTTTGTACCTACCTTCATTTCACAGGAAGTTTGCTCTGTGTCCAAAATACAAAATTATTTTAATTAAGGGTCGGCATAAGAAATTCTTGCGTCATTTTAATGTGTAACCTTTGCGATGAATCACTCTCTGTTTGGAGTGTATTTAAAAAAATGTAGTGTTGTTATTCGTTTCTCATTTTAAAAATGGTATCATCCACACTTGGGTTAAATCATAATAAATGAGTAAATAAATAAAAAAATCAATAAAAGCCAATGCATCGATGAAAACTTAAATTTCATCTGAATTCTTTAGGTCGTGGAAAGCAAAAACCAATTACAAAACATTTTATAAGCATATAATTTTTTATTATATACAACATCTACATAATATGTATTTTATATGCTTTTTGGACCAAATTAAATTTCTCCAATTACTCTCCACGATTCCATTTTTCCCTAACTCTCGCGAACCGAAATGCAAATGTTTCTGAAACAAAATCTACCACTACGAGAGAAATATATTCGTGAATCATGAAAATTTATTAGTATATTTGACTGAAATTTGCGACACAAAATTCATTTTGTATGTGTTTCCTCTTAATAAAATGTAACATATTATTCCTATTCCATCCATTCCATTTAATATTATTTTGTTATTCCCATTCGATGTAAGTAACTTGTCCATTTTTAATAACAAAAATCTACTAGTAATTTACTAATTAATACCAGCTTCTCAATTTACACAAAAATTAAATATTGTACAAAATTAAACTTTAAACTTGCGATTTATCAAAATTAGTCATTATTACTAAACTTTATATTTTTTTTATAAAATAAGGGTGCACACAGTCACTTGATGGTAAGTGGATGCTGTGGTCCATAGATTACTTTACGTTTATCTTCAATTAAGAATCAAAACGCAGCCAGTCCTGAGGATACCATCAATGCCTCGTTTCCAGTAAAAAGGGTGTCTTGTTCTCTTCGTGGTGTTTCTACACTCACCATACGAAAGACAGCAGCATTAAGCTGCTATTATACGTTGGTATTCTGTGAGATAAATATTTTACTAGCGATCCGCCCAGGCTCCGCCTGGATGATTTCTGGATCTCGACAACAGCGCCACCTACCGAGTCTGATATTTTTTCTTTTATTTGTGTGTTCGGGCACTTGAGGTGATGAGTATTTAAACCATCCAGGGACCCACCTTTTATCTGATATAAACAATTATCCACTTATTTTGTTAGACACTTAAGAAAATCTATATTTGAAAAAGGAAAAAAGCTTAATTGAAACAAAAGTAAAAAAGATAAAAGTAACTTAAAGTAATTCGAATACGTTAAGACGATATCCGGGCGAAGTCTAGTACATACAACTGTTCTTTTATATTATTATACAGTAAGTCTATCTGAAACCCTGAAAATAGTATAGCAATATACTTTTAAAGGAGACCCTCTCTCAATTGTCAAAAATTGACTAGGCACGATCACCCTATTCGGCCGCCAGATCCCGTGGCAATTAACCGCCAACTATGGGTCACATTCGACCACTCCGTGACCTTCGCGAAACACATTCGCGCCGTCCGCAATCCTGCCAAATTCGTCACTAGTCGACTCCACCCGCTAGTTAACAGTAAGAGCAAACTGTCCCTAAGGCACAAGCTCCACCTCTACAAAGCTTGCGTAAGACCAATCTTGTCCTACGCAAGCGTAGCCTTCGCATACATAGCTCATAAACGTTTGAACAACCAACAAGTCGTCCAAAATAGATTCATTCACATCGTCACCGGAGCTTGGTGGCACGAGCGGAACTCGGATTTACACAGAGATTTTCAACTTCCGACGATCTCTGAATATTTCAAGGATATGTCTTGGCGCTACTTTGAGAGCTAGTGGTAAACGCGGCAACCTACGCTCCGACTCAAAACGTTAAGCAAAGCCTCCGAAGGCCCCGCAACGTTTTAAATAAACTCCCAGCTTCGCTAGATTCCGACAACATAAACGTCGCTGGCCCGTCACACATAGACACTACACATTCACCTAGTGCTACAAACACTGATAGGACAATGGATGGGACACAGCGAGTCCGCAGACAGGCCCGCCGCGTACCCCTCCACAACGCGTGCACACCGTACACCCGCGTCCCTGGGCGGTTCTCACCGCCCAGAACATCGAAAGACACGAGTTCGCCGTCAGAGCCAGGGTCCGCCACCCCCTGTTCGGACGACCGTTATATAACTGTACCACGTGCACTGTACACAGTCATTGGAGTCATCGTGACGCAAGTAACGATGCGGAATGTATGAATTTACATTCTCTTTTTTTAAAAGCCCGGTCCCTGAGTCCTACTAACCTGTGAGAACCGCATAGGCTAGCAGCATCAACATCACAGAAACCAGTCATGATTCACGACAGTAGTCAAACGTCGTATTCGAACTCACCATTTTTCGAGTTTGTAGTCTTAACCTTATAAGAACGTTTAATATTTTTCGTTTAACTATAGCTGTAATTTATGGAACTGCTATGAAAGTTGGCATCCGTTGCAATCTCAACTCTTATCGAGAAAGAACACAATCCCAAACGTCGTTTGGGTATACTTGATTCTCTTTTCATTCATCAAAGAGTAAGACTTATTGAAGATTTTTTAAGCCACTTCAATAAATTAGTTCAGTAATTTGCTGTTGCAATTCAAGTAGCATTCCGTAAGCTCTTACATTGTTTTTTCTTTATTATAACTGGTTTAAACTTTAGAATAAATGCGAGTTGTGAGCAGTTTCTTGCTTCAGAAATTTTACAGTGAAAAAGCTATTTGCATTATTCTCTACTGTATAAAAAGTCTCATCTTTACACATTCTCAACGGACCCATTAAATTGCTGAATTTTTTGCAAACATATTCTGCTTTCCATATAAAATTTTAAAATACTTTATTTTACCCTCTTTTCGAGACTTAGTACATTGACAAATTCGTTATAAACTGTACGATTTATGTTTATAACAAAGGAGTCATCCGTATGGTTGGTTATTTGTTTAAGTTGGTTGGTTAATTGTTCAACCACGAGCATTGGTGAAAGTTGGCCAAGCCTTTAGTACTGACTCATATTTCAACAAACAATATTCAGATGTAAATTAGGACGATGTTAAGCTCGAGTTTTGAACTTTCTCTTCGTTTTAAAAGCTTGCTTTCTAATTAGGGAATTAACAATATTGTTCATGATTAGTAACTTGCTCGTGATTAGTAACTTGCTTTAAAATTTGCTTTTTTTTCTGATTCTTGCTAAACACCTACTTGATAAATTTACTCGTATTCTAATCGAACTCGGAACATGGCAAGGTGGTCGCTAATGATCTAGATGTTTTGACGAGATTTCAAATCGACCGAGGACGAGGACGATGCGTAATAAGGAAAGTGGCTTTTTCACCCCACCCCTCCGACAAGGTGCGCGGGCCGCGGGCGCGTACCTGCGCGTGCGCCGCGAACCGCGATGCGCACCTCCGCTTCACCTCGCCGCGGAAACGGGCAGGTAGCTGTGTAGCTCGCACGTCGCCGCGCCGCACCACGCTCAGTGTGCGCGTTCGCTCGCCACTGATGGTAGTGTCCGCAGTGCGGACGCACGCGCGCGAGCATGCTGCCAGCGCCTCGGTGAAGTGTCATTTCTGTAGACCGTCCGACGAACGAAATGTCCTGTGAAAGGAGAACAAAGGCTGCGCGTTTCCTCGACCTGCGGTGAGTTAGACTCGCCATGTCGCGGCTTCCTGTCGCACCCGACACGCCGATCCTTTGTTGAATCCTCGCTCCGAGTGTCATGTGCCTGTCTCTTTCACACGCGTTGTATCTGCCGAGTGAACCGATGCTATAGTGATTGTGTCTCCGGTCGTTTTGTTTTTGAATGTCATGGATGTCTTGTAAGAATAGTTCTAAGAAAATAATTACGGTTTGTTAATTATAAGGAAATAATAAGTGCTCGTCAGTTACCATTACAAGAAGTTTAAAATAAGTTGTACGTCGGTTATTATTATATACGTTTTACGTTAACATTGAAGAACAAAACCATTAGTTTGCGACCTTGAGAAATTGTAAGTAACGAAACTTACGACCCTCAGCACATCATATTATCATCTCGATTATATTGACAGTTACGATTTTCTTTTTTAAATTTATTCTGGATTATATTTTTTTCTTCAAATTAGTTAAACAAAGTATCAATGAACTACAAAATTTCGGCCATTAGTCGTAAATAAAATTACTATTCTCGCATAGCTGCCCAAGACCTACCCGGAATCGTAGCACATATTATTTATAAAGGACAAGTCAGTTCTAGGAAAACGTCTGCTAAAATGTTGGTAAACGCTTATGCTCTGCTGGAATGCAGGCTGTAGGGCAAGAGTGGGCCGAGCGCAGATGTTGAGTTTTCTCCCCGCCTCGCCTCCCGACCTTGAAAGGCTCTTGACCAGGCCAGTGGCGCCGATGTCGTATTTATTGCAACCTCCGCGATCCGTACCGCCGAGGTTATTGACGCCCCGCAACTACTATTTTTATTCATGGGAACTCGTAGACAAGAGCGACGCTTAGAAGTCAACCTTCTCCCTTTTGCGATTCTCACGTCAATCATATTTTAATGAACAATACCTATTATGTCATTTACGTCACTACTCGGCTAGTTTCCGCCTTCAAAGTTTAGTCAATAACAATGTGAGTCACGCAACTAACTCCCTTTATAATAAATCTACGGTAAGCAATAAATTTATACATTAAACTTTGACGGAACGATGAAGATGCAATGTACTTATTGTGTGTAGTTTTTATCCTAGACGTCTCCTAATGTCACTTTATTGGGTTTGCACATTCATTTTCACAGACTTCGGCGATATCTATAAATATACTCGTCAAGCGGGTACAGATAGGATTGAAGTTCAGTCAGACCGCGGTGAAGGCCGATTGTTACAAGCTTTGCCTTTTGAATTCAAACCTCATGAAATGCACATGCTGTTGTTTTAAATATCTTCTACACACGTCTCTGTTATGTTTTCTTTATTTTCTTAATATTCTGTGTATTATACGTACTCACCAAAACTTACTAGAAGTTATTGATGTTTCAAACTGCCCATTTTCAGAGAATTGAGATTTGTAACACCGAGTTTGGCAATTCCTACAACATTCACCAAAATAATTACTTTATATTAAAACTTGCACTGCTGTAGTTAACAAGTAGGCAATTTTCAGTCGGTATAAATTTCGATTTTACATTCGACACAGTGGCAGATAAGCTCTTTGTGTGCCATATGGCGACGAGATCCACACTCCACAAAGCGAACGAGGCCGGCATATGTCGCCGCTTTCACTCCCTACATCACATTCGCTGTTACATAGCTTTACGCGTAGACTGAAATAAATTAGTACGATTCTCTGCCCTTTGTATATTCATGGTTTTCGGGTGGACATTACCATAAAGCTGCCCAGTAATTTAGTAGGTTTAAATTTCAAGAAATTGCTCGAGTTGACTAAAAGAATTCCGTTGACGTCGCGATTGCTGTGTTTACTTTCAGTTTGTAAATAATTATTTATTTTAATATAACAACAAGTTGTTTGTTATGCGTTCCTTAGCATTATTTTCTTGTTGATTTATTGATTTGCAATTTCCTTAAGGCAAATACCTGTTCAAAAATGTGTAGGTAAGAATTTTCAATGTAAATAAACATTACAATTGAAGTTTTGAGTTAGTGAGTAAAATAATTATATACTATTAGGTAAGCATTCATTTTCATTATTTAAATTTCGCAAGTTTATGGTAAAATTAGATATTTTTCAGGTCTTTCTTGTCATGGTCGTAATTGATCAAGAACCCGAAAACATTTATTTATTTATTTATTTCACAATTTATGTACACACAAGTAAGGGAGAGGACACATCATGATAAAAAGATTGTACAAAGGCTCTAATTATATCACAATGAAATTTCTTCCAGTAGGCCAGTTTCAAACACATATGATTAATAAATGATTACCTATAAGGTGTGCACTTTGTTATTATACAACACATATGGGAATAAAATAAATATATACGTCAGTTTAAATACTTATAATACATATACAAATACATGAATATATTCATATTTAAACGAACATTAATACATGCATAAATACTTAATGTAATATAAAGTCATAATTACATATATAAAACATATATACACACACACATACATACATATATGTACATGCATATATTTGTAACAGTATAGTAAATATCAGAGATTTGAGACTTACACAGAAGACAGCGATAAATAATGTTCTTTCACTCGTTTTTTGAACAATGTCACTGTTTTGATTTCTCGAATGTGAGTAGGAAGCGAATTCCAGAGTCTTACTGCTTGTACGGAGAATGAACGGGAATATGAATGAGTATTAAAGGATGAGAATTTTAAGAGAGTTTTAAGGTGAGGTCTACAAACTGTATCTGGGGATTTAAGAAAGGTTAAACATTCATTTTCATTATTTAGTTAAACATTCATTTTCATTATTTAAATTTCGCAAGTTTACGGTAAAATCAGGTATTTTATTTGATCAAGACCCAAAAAAGACAAAATTACTACTTTATATCATAAACGTGAGAAAATTCAGTTTTTTAATCAAAAACCTAGACTGATTTAGTTTTAGGATAAAATTAAATAAATTGTCGTTTACTGTTTATTTAAATAAATAACACAATTACATAACTTAACCTAACTTATCCTAAGCTTAAATTTTATCATAAACTTAAACAAGTTTTTTCAGGTTAATGATAAGATTAAGTAATAATTTTGTCTTCATCCGATTCCTGTTTAAAAACCTGATTATACCTTAACCTGCGACCTCAGACGAAATAAAAACTCTTCGAATTTTTATTTCGTCTGAGCCTGCGACATAATATACAATAATTTATAGCCAGGATGAAGCTTTATGATAACTACACACACCATAACAATAAGTATATCTTTTAAATACCAAGGAACTGTTTCTCCTTACAATTTATGATTGCTTTTCATAAGTCTAGTCTAGTATAAATATTCCAATATAATTTTAATGTATAGGTCCAAAGTGGTTTATGCGTCACCACGCTCCGTTGTTCTATGCAAGGGTAGTTTTTGTGACAGCAGCTGGTTTACCCCCATGAGTGACTAACGTCCTGTATCTGTGCCCTAGCGTGGGGTGCGACGCGTGTCATTGACCCCACTCGCAGCCCCATTCACGATACGCTTCGCACAATTTATCCTTTGCCCTTTGTGCTCCTCTAGTATACGAGTATATCGGTTTCTATACTATATTACTTTGCAACCCCGTAATTGCATGCATGCAGCAGTATTTTCCATTTTCTGAGGACTACTACCTACTACAGACAGTTTAAATGTGTAATGTGTAAATTTTTAATGTCAATGATAATAATGTATAGTACGTTTTGATGATAATCATGTCTGTTAGTTATTACTAATTGTTATAATTCCCTTCCTCTTCGATGCATATTTATAACATTACTATGGTTTCTATAGTTGGTTGAATACCCGAAGCTATTATATGAACAGATAGAAAAAAATGGTTGACTCTGCAGGCCATCCCTGGAACTTCCCGCTAATTTCAAATGCAAAGCGCTCCAAATTTCACCAAATTATGTTAAGAAATCTCGAAGTTACGTTAAAAAAACGTTTTTCAAATTTTTTCTCCTTTCTCCTTCGATATCTCAGGAACGATTGAACCGATTTTTATTTTCCAAACGGCATTCGACGTTATTTTTTGAGATTAACAGCTGATTAGTTTTTGAAATCGATAAAGCCGTTTAAAGGTTATTAAAAAAAAACAGTTTTACAAATTTTTTATTTTTGAGATTTCTTAAAATCTACTCGTCCGAATCAGTTCATATTATCACCAAATCTATTCCACATTGAGATCTTTAGAACGCCGCACACCGCAACCGCATCTCAATCGATCAAGACGTTACGAAAGGACAAAGTTATGAAAGGTTTACATACTTAAACACACACATTACATACATACCGGATGGATGTACGGACGTCCACGTGAAATTAGTCTAAATATTCTTCCTGGGCTCTTAAAACGTCAAGATCTTATGAAAACTTGATTTTCGAAAATCGGGGTGAAACCAATAACTTACCTGTTTTTGAAAATTTTCAATTTTCTTAGCGGGAAGTTAAAAATAATCAGATCTTTAAATTATATGTCTGCTAAATATGTGTGTAATTTATTCGTGTATTTTGTATTATTAATAATTTAATAATAATTTAATCAGGTTTACACAAATATTCGGTAGTTGCAGACTGACACTTCGAAACAATTTGTTTTCATAGGATAGGTTATTGGCTCTTTAGAAAACAATATTATTTATTTTATTTGTGTGCATTTCAAACATTTTACAAACTCGCAGACACACAATGAGAGAATATGACACAGTTGGACGCAAATTTTCCCCATTTCTTATTTTATACAAAAGCTGTTTTTATATCAATTGTACACTTTTACGAGTTTGTCTGACGATCTGCGCAATTTACTAATGGCATAAAAATGTCGCAGTTTGGTATTAAAGCTCAAAGTTGTCTCTTTAATATTGGATAGTATTCATTTCAACTCGTAGGTTGATATTTACTATATTTTAATGTAAAAATTTGCGTTATGTATATAATTAAATGCAAAGATTTATAGCAGATTCTATCTCACATCCTTTATTATAATTTTATAAGAAATTAAAATTAAGATAACATTGTTGTGCACTGACATGCTATTCCTAACTTTGACAACATATTCTACTACATTTTTTCTAGT